CTTACCCATCCCATTAACTCCTTACCCATCCCACTAATCCCTTATCCATCCCGCTTTGACAGAATGAGTACTTCGGCACCATCTCCATCGGTACCCCAGGCCAGGAGTTCACCGTTATCTTTGACACTGGCTCCCCCAACCAAAATGGGTGCCCTCGGTGTACTGCTCCAGCCCAGCCTGCCGTAGGTGTCCAGCAGCCCCCCGGCCGGCCGGGCAAGGGGTGAAGGCAGGGGAAGCACTGGGCTTGGCCAGCCCCCTGCCCTGCCTGGCTCTGGGACCCCCTGGGAGGGCTGGGAGCCGAGGATGGCTCTGCCCTGTCTCTCCCAAGGGACGTTGGGCAATGGGGGAGGCACTGGAGAGTCATCCTTGGTCCCTGAGGGCAGGACAGACCGTGACCGTCTCCCTCCCATACCTGCAGGCAACCACAACCGCTTCAACCCAGCAGACTCCTCCACCTTTGTCAGCACCAACGACAGCCTCTACATTGCCTACGGCACTGGCAGCATGACCGGCATCCTGGGCTACGACACCGTCACCGTAAGGCGGGGTGCACCAGCCCCCCCATCCCATGGGAACGGGGACACCGGGGCGCTGCCTGCCCAAACCAAGCCCCTCTCCCCATCTCCCTGACCAGGTCGCAGGCATCAAGGTCCTCAACCAGATCTTTGGGCTGTCTGAGACCGAGCCCGGCAACTTCTTCGACTACACCCCCTTCGATGGCATCCTGGGGCTGGCTTACCCCAGCATTGCCTCCTCCGGAGCCACCCCTGTCTTTGACAACATGATGACGGAAGACCTCGTGGCCAAGGACCTCTTCTCCGTCTACCTGAGCAAGTAAGCCCTGGCCGGAGTCGCCCAGCCCTTGCCGAGGGTTTTCTCCCATTTCTCTGCCACTGGGGCTGGCGCCGGCACTCTTCCCCGGTGGCGTGACGCCCCGTGGCTCCTGGGGGACATGGCTTACAGCTGCCGGCATCGGCACCGGCGGAGGAGGACGGCACTG